GAGCCCTCTGGGTAGGTACCTGGCTTTCAGGCAGTTGTGATGGGTGGAACATTGCTTTGTTACATTTAAGACTTTGCAACACAAAAAAGCCCCAAGAGAGCTATAATTTAGGCAAGGTTTTGCTTGTTTGTGAACTCTGGAGAACTGAGAAATTTATTCTCAGCTTTAAACTTATACGCTGGGGATGGGGTCGGTGGGTGTGGATGCAAATAGCTTTTCCTCCTGCTAAATAAAGTAACATACATTTCTTGTAGAAAATTTTCAAAATATGGAAAGTATATAAAAGTAAATAAAAGTTGCCCATGATCCATAGATAATGACTGCTAATATTTTGATGTCTGCATGTCCATCTTTTTCTATCCAAATATAGAAATACAAAAGTAATATTTAGAAGATTGGGATCATATTTTAAATCATATTATTGTATCTTAAAAAAACTTAGAGAAGTTTCTCTCTAATTTATTTAAAATTACTTGAAAACATAGTTTGTTTTGTTTTGTTTTGTTTTTGATGGAGGCAGTGGGGATTGAAAGCAGGACTTCATGCATGCTAAGCACTTGCTCTACCACTGAGCTAACCCTGCCCCACAAAACATAGCTTTTTAAAGATCATGTAGCGTTTCCTTATGTGAATCATTTATTTAATTATTCCCTAGTCATTGGGACATGCAGGGCATTTCCAACTTTTTGTTATTATAAATTCTGTTACAGTGGCTATCTTTTTATTTTAATCTTTATTTGCATCTTTATTTACTTGGATGGAATCCTAGAAGTAGAATTGCTGGGTCAAAGGGTATGAGCATTTTTAGCTCCCTTGTTACATACGGCCAGGCTGCTTTCCAGAAAGATTCATGCTCCTGTCCCGGATATAACAGAATCCTGTTGCTGCTGATCCACGGGTGACTCCATGCAAAGCCACTCCCTCAAGGTTTCACTTTTACCATGAATTAAATATTAAATGTATTCGTATTTTCATTTGCAGCACATACTTAGGAACTTAGACACTGAAGGAGTCTAGATTGTGTAAAACTTCCGTCTTTTATTTCTAACTTCTCATTGTAATGCATTATTTACTTACCTGGATTATGTGAGGCCATGTTGTGGTTGGGTCTGGTGCACATGCGTGTGTATGTGTGTGTGCGTGTGAGCATGAGGAGGTGGGAAATTGTGTGCACACATAATTTTGATTTGCATTTATCAAAGTCTCGGAAGGAAGATGAAGCTGGAAACTAACATGAAAAAATGTTCTGCATCATTATACGTTTAAACGAGCCACAGTTTAAAATAATGAGAACATTCTATGTGTGTGAGGTTACAGCAGTGGTAACAATATACTGCTGGCTGCAGCGTAAACAGATGAAATCACTTCAGAAAGCAATTTTGTAATAAGTCTCAGGAATTATAAAAGATCATAACCTATGATCTAGTCACATTATTACTTGGAATTTATGCTGTTTCTGTGTGTAAAAGAAGAAACAAAGTATAAAAACATGAATTTTAGCATTAGAAAAATTGGATGTAATCTAACCGTCTAATCATAGAGAAACGGTTTGAGTAAATTATACTAAATCCAGCCCAGTAATATTATGCAACCATTAAAAACAATGATTATAAAGACCGTGTAGCAACATGGAACATGTCTGTGATATAATTTAAAGTTTTAAGAAGGCTGATTATGTGGACAGAGACATGAAAAAGCATGCAAGACTGAAAACGGTTGGCTTGGGTGATTTTTTTTTTTTTTTTAAAGACCAGCAGTGTTATATGGTGATTTTTGCACTGAAAACGGAAGACGCTAGGGAGGCTGGCATGCTTTGGAAAGATAGGGTGCTGCATGCGGTGGACCGAGGTCCCTTCCTGCACACACGGTCTGTGCTGTTTGTCATCCCTGCGTTGTGATGGCAGAGGAGCTCCTTGCTGGGTGGTCTTATCGTGGTGTTAGAGCCAATGCAGAGGGGCTGGCCTGAGAGAGGGGTGTCTGGTGCTCTGACCCAGCAAGAATACTTTGCATGTTGTCCCAGGAAGTGTGACAAGAGTCGTTGTCTGGGTGACAGTGTTAGGACGTGGTGGTGATGGAGCAAGTCCTGGGACCCATCCCCTGGTGTCACCTTCCACCCAGTATTTTTACGCCGGGGAACTCGGTTCAAATGAAATTTAAGACAAATGATTTTTGAGTTTAGAAGATGGGCTGAAACTATGTAATTGAGGAGTGTCGTGAGAGTTGGAAAGGACATTTCCAAGGAGTGAGTCTGTGTATGTCCCCCTCCCCTTTACGTACCTTTCTCCCCGCACTGCCAGGTTGTTGGGGCTGGCCTGGGGGTGGGGGCAGAGTACTGTATTAGAGGAGCCTCTCTGGGAAACAGAGGAGGAGCCAGTGGGACTTGGAAGATGATGGTGGCAGGTTGAAGAGGCAGGGAGAAGGGACTGGAGCCTGGGGGGAACGCAGGCTCTCTGTACCACATCTCAGCTGCTGTGACAAGGGATGTAACAGTTGGGGCCAGGAGGACCAGGCTCAGGACCTCGGATTTGGGCATTGTGTGCCATCTCTGGGTCCGCTGTCTCTGCTGGGTCGGCCCGTTATCAGCACACTTCCATGTGATGCTTGGTTCTCTGTCGCCCACCCTCGCCCCACCTCCCACGTGCCGCTGAGCTCTGTGACTCAGCTGCTTCTCAGGACATCTGAGCAGCTTTTTTTTTCCCCTGGGGCTGGCACCACTGTCAGGAGATGTGTAGGCAGAATTCTTCTTTTTATTATTGTTCCTTTCGGTCCCTGAGGTGCCTCTCCCACCCACAGGTCCGTGCCAGTGGGAAGCCCCCTCGACGAGAGTAGACTGTTGGCAGATGGTGGCAAGAGGGCCTTCTGTAGCCTCTGATTCGAGAACGAGGCCGGCACTGATGAGTGAATCCCTCGGGCTGCAGCGGGAGCACTGGAAGGCAGTCCACTGCAGTTTATATGCCTCCTCTTAGAGATGCCCCAGGAGTGGCGACAGCCGTGACTGCCCTGGAGCGTCTGTCTTTGTGGCTGGGCTGGCGTCGGGAATTTGCTGAGTTTTCCTGGGGGATGGGTGCCCGCTTATGGCGGCGAGGCTGACCCAGCCATTCTGCCTGGGACTCCTGATCTCCCCTGATCCCCTGGGGGAAGCCGCATCCTTTCTCAGGGATCTGCTTCCCCTCCCACCAGCACCGGGCCTCACCCTCCCCATCTTTGACCCAATGTCTTCCAGACTTGAAGTCCCTTCCATGGTCCCTCCCATGGCGATTGTTCTTTGGCTTGAGCCCATCTCTCTCCCTTTTCTGAATTCACAGTTGCCCCTCGTGAAACTGGGAGCTGGGCTGGAAGCTTCGTCTGGGGAGGCGCCGAGAAGCAGGGCACCTGGAGTGGGTACCTCTGACCACGTGATGCGCTGCATGCAGGGCTGTTCCCCTCCCGTCGGCCACCTTTTCCATCCTCCTCCTTCCACTGTTTCTTACCTCCTCCTTTACTTCTGCTCCTTCTCCTTCCTCTCTAGCTGCGCTGTTTCATCTGTGTCCTGTTTCCCTGCCTGCTTTTGCTCTTTTGTGCCCCATCATTACCCAGTGAGTCACGATGAGATCCCCTGACCCGTCTCCCTCCTGATGAAGTCATTTGCCCCTTTGGGATTCTGCCTGACCTCACCTGGAATCTAGGGGCTCACTGTTTCCTGATATCCCTGTGTGTGTGTGTATGTGTGTGTGTGTGTGTGTAGGGGGGTACTTTTTTCGTGGGGCAGCCTCTCAGCATCGCAGGAGAGATGCTGTGGGGGCAGGAGAGAGCAGACCGCACCGCCATCACCACCCTTAGAAATAAGCCTGATTTCCTGGGAACGTGGGTCCCTGCTTGTGGGACTTGCCCCTCCTGGCTCGGGAGCCTGCGAGTGTACATCTCGGTAGCCCACGTGCTGACCCAGTATCGTCATGCGGGGCCTGGCCCTCAGCCAGCCGTCTCACCGCCACGCTTAGTCATAGACTAAGGGCCACGGTGGGCCTGGGTCAGTGAAGCTTGCTTTGTTGGAGCCGAGCAGGGCTGGGGCTGGGTGGTGTCTGTCCTTGAAGGTCTGAATGCCACATGGGGTTTTCTAATCCTTGGGGACTGTGCGCCACTTCTGCAGTGTATTGTGCAGCCAGGTGGGATGTCCCTGCCTGTCCCAAGAAGGCGCTCGTCCTCTTGGGGGATTGAACAGCGCTCCTGCCTCTTCCTCTGGCTCATCAGACAGACGGAAGGAAACCAGGAGGAGAGGGAGGCTGGCTTGAGGGTGCGGCTTGTCTCAAATCACCAGACCCTGTTTCGGAGTCAGGGAACCTGTTCAGAGCTGGGCTTTTCTTCTGTTCCCTCATCCTTTCAGTTACAAATGGCTTCTGGGACGTAGGGAAGTGAGGGGTGTGATGTGGGGGCTGAGGGGTGGTCCTGCCCCAGGAACCCCTCGGATTTGAGTCCTTGGTGCCCTGGAGGCCTGCTCTTTACTCCTAAAATCGGAGTTTATCCAGGTATTTGCACTGGAGCTTAGACCCTGTCTGAGATTGTTCCTTTATGTATAAAATTGGGTTATGACCTACTTTACAAGGCTTTTCTGAAGAGTAATAATAATTCTTAGTGTTTCTGAAGGCTTCCTGTCTGCTCAGCACTTAATTCTCATCAAAATCTCAAAAGGTGTGGGTCCTAGTATCATCCCCGTTGTCCAGATGGAGAAGCTGAGGCGAGAAAAGATGAAACAGTTCGTGGTCACACAGTCAGCCAGTGGCCAGAACTGGAATTTGAACCCAGGCCCCGGACCCCAGGTCTAGGATCTTGTGTTTGTGGATTTTGATGATGTGGAGGGGACTTGGTAGACGTTTCCAGGGACTGGTTAGGGTGGGACATTTGGGGCCCTGGGGAAGGGGGCGGGTGAGAGGGGCACCAGCCTCCCCCCTCCCTGAGGTGAGTCAGGCCAGAGCGAGGCGCCCGCCCCCACTTCTCACGGCCCCTTCCTCCCTCCTGCCACGCAGGGTGATGTGAGCAGAGCCCAGGAATGCCTTATGTGGATCGGCAGAACCGCATCTGTGGGTTTCTGGACATCGAGGAGAATGAGGGCAGTGGCAAGTTTCTGCGGAGGTACTTTATCCTGGACACGCAGGCCAACTGCCTCCTCTGGTACATGGACAACCCCCAGGTGAGAGGTGGAGGGGCGGGGAGGGCGGGGTGGCCGGCCTGGGAGGATGCGCAGAGGCTGAGCGTCGAGGGCTTCCTTTCTCACGGGCAGCACCAACCTGCGGGTCAGTGAGTGGGAAAAAATCCTGCATTGCACACCTACACCCACACCCACACCCATGCACAGAAGCAGACACGCCTGCACAGGAAACCAGCCCAGATCTTGGCTGGAGGAGACAGAAGCTCATCTCTCCTGCCCCTGGGGACCGGGGGGGTCTTGTCTTTTCCCAGACTCAGGAATGTAACGCTTGCAGAAGTCCAGCCGAGGCCGGCCAGGCTGGGTCAGGCTCTCAGGCAGGGCTTGCTTCCTCTAACATCTCGCCAGGGCTGTGGCCCCGCGGCCACGCCTGCTCCTCCAGCTGGGGGCCCCTCCCCAGCAGAGAATGTGACCAGGCTTGGACTCCTTTGGTCTCCTGCTCAGGGAATCATAGAATCCTGGGTTGGAGGTGACTTTGGGGGCTGCCCCGGGTGTGACAGATGAGAAATTTGACTCTCACGTTGGAATTGGCTTCAGCAAGGGCACAGCCAGGACTGGGGGGTGGGTGGTGCTGGCTTAGCGTCCTGTGGCGGTCAGGCGTGAGGACGGGCCCCGAGGCTTCATTGCTGTGCCCCGGAGTCACTGGTTGGGAAAACGTTGCTCTCCTCCTGACTGGGGATCTCAGATCTTTTTCTCTCGAGCTGAGTGCTGTCGGCGCTCCCCTCCCCTCTGCCCTGGGCGCGTGGTGGGACGAGGCTCCAATGATGGCCAGGCCCTGGTGCTCAGCAAGGTCATGGTCATGGCTGTGTGGGGGCAGGGAGGGGTGCGGGGCTGAGACCTGGCTCTCCTTCAGAGATTTGGGAAGAGGAGAGTCTGAGTGTTGGGGGCTGGATATGTGCTTTAAGATGTGAAGCGGGAAAAATCTGGGGACCAATTCTCTAGAGGCCTTTGGTGTTTGTCTTTCTGGACTTGCTGGCTGAGAGAAAATGCTACACATATGGCCTTTATACCTTTACACCAAGATAGGTCTGGTTGGATGGAACGGCCCAGCGGCCAGCAGTTCGCTGGGGGCAGAGGGGCTGCAGTTTCCCCTGCTGCTGCCCATCCAGGAAAGAGGTGGGGCCTGGAGGAGGAATCTCAGGTGGAAAGTGCCCAGGAGATCAAGGATCAGGTCCTCTCTCCGCCACTGCGTTGTTTTGTAGGTTAGGCAGGTCATCACTGTAGTCACTCTACGTCATCCGTAACCTGGCTTTTAGTCCTTTGTTTCCTGAAAGGCTGAGATCCTGGACAACACTATTTAACACATCCTTGCACAGTATACCCCAGGATGCTGAAGCGACAACTGTGAATACGTCCAAGTCTTGGTCTTCACGGAGCTTGCTCTGTAGGTAGGGAGATGGAGGACTAGATAAAAATGTGGCATAGAGAGCTACGGGCCAGGCCTTCGTGGAGGGATGGCTTAGATCCAGGTCTGCAAGGATGGGTGAGCCGTGAGTCATTATTCCTCCAAGGAGTTCATAATGGTAGCACATTTTACAGGTATGAAGTGTTTTCACTTAACGCTGGCTCATTTGATTGTTATGCACCCTGTCCTGAGCAGAGCCCAAGGGGAAGAGGAGGGCGTCCCAGGACAGGAAACAGCGCCATTAGTGGTCAAAGACAGCACCAGGGAGGGACATGAGCTCACCTGCTTCCAGGATGTCCAGGGTCGGGCTCCCCAGAAGAAGACCCCAAGACCCAGCCTCAGGCACCGAGACAAGGATCGTGGCAAGTTCTTTATTAAGGAGATATTTTCCTGGAGACTGTTAAGAGGACTAGGAAGCCGGACAAGGGTGTGAGCTCAGGCAGAAGTCGGTAGGCTCAGCCTGATTCTCTGGGGACTCGCCGTGAGTCAGGCCGAAGAGGTGCCCTAAGGAGGAGGGCTTCTGCATGCCACACTGTGGACCGAAACGGCAGAGATGGGAGGCCAGCGACCATGTCTGCTTGCAGGATGATGGTGGGTGCGTGTCGGGAGTCACCGTGGACCACAAACAGCTTTGACTGCCTGTTAGATTTAGATCGTTGTGCTCAAGTGTGAAATCAAGGCTTTTTTCGTCCAGAGAGTGGTGGCACCAAACAGATACAGGCTGAAACCCACTGGCTAAAAGGGACCCTGTCAATGGAAAATTTCAGTGTTATCGATTCGGTCACCCATCTGGTTAATGCATTTAAAAATCAATCTGCTGACAGTACTGAGCACACAATTCCTGAAGAGAAACAGAGAATGGCTGGGTTTCCCGTAAGACGTGACTGCGATGTGCTAGGACCAGCATGTGCCTTTCAGTTTCATGTTGGTCCCTGTCGTGACGGAGGAGGTGACAGTCCTTCATTAGGCTGTTTCACTGTATCGCTGTGACCCTCAGGGTCACTGTGTTTCAGTTGTACGGCAATGCTCGTGTTCCACCCTTGTGATGCCCGCTTGGTTAAGTATCACGAGACTTCTTCATACAGCCTGGAGCAAAGGGTGAACAGAAGCATGCCAACAATGTCACACGAGATTGTGCTCTTCTCAGATTTACTACATAATCTATGTTTTCTCTCTTTTGCCAAAAAAAATACTCAGATGCTTTCACTTTCCAAAGGCCATGATGTGAATTATGGATTCTCATAATCTCCAAAATGATTGCTTTTCTCTGTTAACTCTGGGGCCACAGTAAAAGCCCTTTGCTTCTGGCTTTTTTTTTTTTTCCCAATAAGCTGGAAACGATTCTTTCCATTGAAAGGGGCAAAGAGCTTTAACTGTGTTGACAAAGAGATGGATCTTTGGCTGGATTTTAGTGGAAAGAATACAGAAGACCAGGAAGAAATTACATTCACATACAACGTATGATGAATAATACTTTTGCCTTAAAGGCTAGGTGAAAATTGCTATTTTTTTTTTAAATTGCGTTTTCTGTATCAGAAGTTTCTTTGAGCAACATGTGGCTGAAATTCAACAATATTTAAAAAACTTCTGCGTCATATGCTTCAACCTGTCAAAATGCCAAGAACCGGGAATATAACTTTCATTAAAAAATGGCCAGCACATACACATGATATAAAATTCAAAATGTGGGAAAACTGATGTAGTGACACATTCCCCCACCCCGTCCCTCAGCCACATGTCCCCCTAGCCAGTGGCAACCAATATTTCTAAGTTCTTTTTTTTTAAAAACAGCTTTATTGAGATATAATTCACATAGTTATGTATATTTAAAACATTTTTACTTATTTATTGTTGTTTACTTGTCTCTTCTTTTTGGGGGGGGAATAATTAGATTTTTCTTTTTAAATGGAGGTACTGGGGATTGAACCCAGGACCTTGTGCATGCTAGGCACACACTGTACCACTGAGCCACACCTCCTCGCTATTTCCAGATTCTTGTGTGTCTCTCCAGAGATACTCTCTACAGGTGTAAGCATCATGATAACTTTCAGATCTTCAATTGTTTGCGCAAAGAATTTTTTTAAATTTATTATTTTATTTTTATTTTTTAAATTTATTTTTTTATTTCCTTGTGGGGGGGGAGGTAATTAGGTTTATTTATTTGTTTTTTAATGGAGGCACTGGGGGTTGAACCTAGGACCTTGCGCATGCTAAGCATGCACTCTACCACTGAGCTATAATCCTCCCTGCAAAATGTTTTTAATTCATGATTTTGTGTAATTGGTACATTAACTGTCGATGTAGACACATGACTTCAAGGGTTAATTGGAATTGCTGGCCTGCTTTGGTCCATATTAGGTTAGAGTAAGAATGCAGAATTCCTTTTGGAAAAAAATCCCCAAAGATTTTAAGCAACAGATTTGTGTTTTCACCAAAATGCAAATTCTGCTTAGGGTCAGTTACTATTAAATTAATGATTTTAGACTCAAAATGTTATGTGGACTTTCTGAGAGTTAAAGTAAGTGCAGTTTTGTTTTCTGTGCTTTGTACAGTCATCTTTTTTTTAGGACAATTCTTGTCTTTATAACAAGATGTGCTTTGTCTAAATTAAAAAGAAGTGAAAACTAAGAAGCACTGTGGGACAACCATGTTAATAGTTAGCATTGCTCAGTATTAAAGTCCAAGCAACTAGAGATGGAAGCTGTGAAGATGAGCAGAAGTTTTACTGATGCAGGACCGTGGTGAAGACTGTTCCAAGTTTTCTTGAAATTTGTTGTTAGGTTTTGCTTTCAGTTGTAACCTTCAGCATTTGTTTGGTCTGTCTATTATATATGTCTGTTTTTATATGGTTAAATATCTATTCACATGCAAAAAAAGGCAATTTTATTATTAAAATAATGTGTCTGGGAGGAGGGTATAGCTCAGTGGTAGAGCACAAAGTCCTGGGTTCAATCCCCTGTCCCTCCATTAAATTAAAAAGTAAATAAACCTAACTGCCCCACCCCTCCAGAAACAGAACTCTGAATAGAGCTTATTTAAAAAAAAAAGGAAAATAAATTTTAAAAAGATAATGTCTCTAAGGCAGAGCAGGCAATTGTGTGTTTGGGAGAAGGGCTGCATATCAGATTTTGCTTCAGAATCCCTTTTGTTAGTTACATCAGTTGAGCACGAGGCACCTGGATGAACATGTTAATTAGGAAAACAGCCCCTTTTCTGAGCCTCCATCATCTTTACCTCAGACCCTGTTGCCATGAAAAATAAGTAAAGTGATGTGTAGGGAAGCACTTTGATAAACTAAAGTGCTACAGAGACGCCATTTGTTCAGGACGCTTGTTCTGGCAGTGACATCAGGATGGGCGGGGAAGCCGGGGAGCCTGAGATTGGAGATGATGGCAAGGAATTCATCCTAGAGTTTCCGGAGGTGTTTGCGGTGGCGGTGTGGTGGGAGCAGCGAGGAAGGGACAAATCTAAAGGCCGTCTGAAGGCAGACAGTGGCCCGCCTGGTGACTGACGGAAGGGTGAGTTACATCCGTCAGAGGCATGGTACCCGGTTGACTCGGGGAGAACACGGGGAGGCCGA